TGGCTTTTGCGAGGGCATGAGTTTAAACCCAAATATAGTGGGTAAGTGTAATGAGCTCCTCTATTGGTATGGAATCGTAGCTGCAGTTCTCCTCGGGCTAGTATCATCTCACTGTATTCCTCGTTGAAGTAAAGGAAGGAATCGATCGGAGTTAACCAACTCTTTTGTGGGGTGCGCCATGCATTACACATGCATTCAGGATTGCAGAAGAAAGCTTAAATGTGTATTCAAATTCCAGCGACCATTAGGTTTCCAATAATGTGCGTGTCTCCTCTCGATCACTCTGGCTACAGAGTAGCTGACTTTGGTGCTGCCTGACTCACTTACTGGTCTCAAATCTCTGACGTCCCCTGCTGCGGCTTCCAGCCATTGGACTAATCTCCGCCCTCTCCTCATTTACTCGAGAAAAAATTAGAAAATCTGCTACAGCGTTCCTGTCAGAGGGCGATGAAGGCGATAAGCCGCACCAAGACCAAGTCACATGTACGACGTCTTTTTTGGAAAACACCAAATACCTTCGTTCCTTCGGAGCCAAAAGACCTACTCGATGAGACCAACGATGGCACTTCTGGGGTAGTAGCGCCTCATCGACGGGGTGAAATGTCGGAAACGAGCTCAACTTCCACAGGTATTGCCCGCCCAACATTTCGGACGTGGAAAGGGTGGCAACGGCAGCGTACTTGAAATAATACGGTTTCCATTATGGGCGATTTGCCATTGGCTGCACCTCATACCAAGCAGCCGTATCTTCTTATCTTATCGTATCTCCTACGAGATTACTTTCGTCCAACCATCTTTATCCCAGCCCTTACCACGACCTTTCCGTCAAAGAATTGTGAAACTCTTAATCACCTCTGAGGTGGCGTGGTCACTTCCTTCCGCCAGCGGTGATATGGCCGAAGTGGGCACACTAATAAGGGATAGGAATGTTTTTGAAGATAAGAACTTGCTCGGTTCTCCTCAAAAATTTTCTAAACACTACCTGTGAACCGCGACTAACAGAATTGGCGCCAGGTTGAACCTGAGACAGAAGCATGTAATTATTAGCATGGATGTCCGGAATGAAAACAATGGTCAAGTTGCGGCTCGTGATTGGCAAATTTTTGATATTTGGGCGTTCCTTGCGCAAAAACACAGAAAATGGCTTTATTATTCGATGGCGCCATTCGTGATAATATGGGGGCCGCAACAATATTGGCAAAATTGAATCATGACGGAAATGGAATTAGACGATTTCTTCACCACTGTTTTGACATTCCTGGCGTTCAGGAAGTAGAAATGATGATACTTGCATGAGACTACTACACATGCCGATTTAAAGAGCGCCCCAAGGCAAGTGAAAGACTTAAAGGAATCTTGCGCGGAAAAATCATGATTCTATTTCAGCCATAAATCACTGGCTTGAGACTCATTATCCACGATAATAGTGAAAAGAACTGAAGTATTGCTTTCGTTTTGATTAGAAATTCGAAAACTCGAAAAGGCTGCTACGCGTTCGAATTGCCCACGGACGTCTTTCACGAATGCTGGCGACGGGGATGCTCAAACTTGGTTCTTGGAGTGCATTCACTAGAAGCTCTTTCTGGCCTTCTGCTTCGTTGCATTCACATCTTACACTTCTACTCCATCCTATTCCATCGATCGATTTGTCTCCACTCTCCGAAATCGCGCGCTTTAACCCGATTCTCTCATTGCGTCGCCTGGTACGTAGCCGGCCAAACGCCGTCTTCTTTCCATGCCTCGCCTGGCTCTGCCTCCTGGTCCTTCGATGGTCCATAACGTGTAGTTTTGTACGTTTGTTTCTCTTCAGAAACCGAATCTTCATGCGTGAAACTTTGTGTGCTATTTCCAGTGATCACAACTGACATATTCATGTTAGGAAAGAGTGCAAGAATTTTCCGCGCAAGATTCCTTTTAAGCTCAGAAATCTCAGATATTCATTCGTGTAAGTTGGAAATTTGGCTTAGCTATGGCTTACGAAATTCACAAGACAGGAGTGGGGGACTTTTGGTTATCGTTATCTTCTCGTTATGAGAATCAGTATTGGAGGCTCTGTATATATATTGAAGGAAAGGAAAGAACAACAAACGATCGTTCATTTAGATGGTGTTTTTGGGATTTTAAGGACCGTAGAGGGTCTACATCCTACTCAGATTTGTCTCATATTTTTGTCCTAGGAGATTATCTACATAGGCTCGCAACGTATTCATCACTGGTTCAGACAATTGGACACTTGTGGGTCTAAATGCGAAACCCTTCAGGCTTGTCACATATAGGCTTCCGATTGTCCAATGGGATAATAGAACAAAATGAAGAAATATAATATTAAGTTGGTGGTAAAAACAGATATTTGCGCACAATTCCATGGATTCGTCGTAACGCTTGCACCGTATGAACTTCATCATGTTCTAGAACATATCTCGAGAGTTTCCGGCTAAGCAGTATTCGAAATAGGTCGCGTCAGCCATTCTGTAAAGTCATGCCGCATTGTAAGAATAGCTAGAGCATTGTCTTCTACATAGCGCCGCGTTCACTATTCAATATAACATCGTGCTCGAAAGAAATCGTCAGCCATGGCACGATTAGTTCTTCTATTCGCTCGTTTTCAGTTTGGAGATCGATGTCGAACGACGATCTAGTTCGGGCAGTTGTATCGGAAGGGCACGACTTCTCAGCGCAGTGAATGAAAGAACTGAGTTACGAGCAGGGAATTGGCGGAGCTTCTCGAGTGCGATCATAGCAACGTCACTCAACACCTTCACGAGCACGATTACAGGAAAGTTTCGCTCGATGGATTCCGCACCAACTGACCGACGATCTGCGTCACACGCGTGTCTCAATCGTAAGTCTTTCCTTATCCAATAAAGGAATTTCTGCGAGGTTTGGTGACGGGGGATGAGCTGGATTTCTACGAAACAGAAAGAGGTGCCGTCTGGCTTCGCAAAGGAGAGATCCGTGCTCTCCCATCAGACAGCACCCAAGAAACGATCTGCTGTGCTGCTTCTGGGACTCAAAGGGAATGCTATACCACGACTTGCTCCCTCAAGGCCAGGCAGTTACGGCCGCCATTTACAGTCGCCAGCTCCAGGAACTCGCTCATGCGATTGAAGAAAAGCGGACGAGAAGGGTTTTGTCTATTCTGTACCGATAACGCGCGACGCTCACGTCCGGCAAAACGCAGTGCAGAGCTGAAGGAGTCGCTGGAATACGTGTATTACTAAGTTTCGCCTATTCGCTGCGTCGCCTTCTGCATCATCGTTTTGGGTAATCAAGCACTTCCTGGTCGAGAAGAACTTCACAAGTTTGGTGACTCAAATATGTGACTGCTTCTTGACTCACAGTCTTTCTTGCTTTCTGGAAAGGGAATAGCGAATAGACTGCTCGTTGGAATAAATCGCATAGATATTGATGGCGAATAAGTTTATTGAGTTAGGTTTGAATAAAATTGTGTTCATATACATTTTAAAAACACGGCCATCGACGTGTAAGCTTTTGCTACGCTGAATAGGAAAAGAACCGAACTAACACTTGAGGACTATTGTTCAACAACGTCTAATAAGAATACTTCAAGGTCGATTTCGAGTCAGACTCTCATTCTTATTTTTGGAGCATTGGTTGAACGCCCATGGAGTGAAGCTCTCCCCCGTCACCGCCTTTCCGCCTCGAGGCTCCCTGAAACTTTCAATTTACCAGTTGACATAGCTTTGAAGACGAGACGCGTCGAGATTTCGTGGTTCGTTTGAAAGAAGCGGTGCGAAGAAGGCAAGAGAAGCGTCAGAGAGGTATAAAGCACAGGGAACCCCAACGAGCGCTGAAATCAAGAGTTCCATTTTTGGCTAGGTTATATTGCAAAAATTAATCATCACCGGAAATCGAACTCTAGACCATTTCTTCACCACTGTTTTGACATTCCTGGGCGTTCAGGAAAGTAGATCATGGCTCCTCGCATGAGACTCTACAACATGCACATTTCAAAAGCGCTCCATAGCCTGAAAGACCCCCTTAAGTTCAAAGCAACATCTCAGATAATTCCATCACAGATAGCATTGATGTTTGCTTATCTATCACGAAATTCGACAAGACAAAATGGAGTTTGGGGGACCTTTTCGTTATCTTATTCTTATCGTTATTGAGAACAGTCATTTCACAGTCTTCGCAGTAGGTGCGAAGAAGACAAGAGAAGCGTCAGAGAGTTAAAAAGCACAGGGAACCCCAAAGAGCACTGAAATCGAGAGCTTCCTTTTTTGCTATGTCGACCGTAATCTGAAGAAGAGAGATGGTGCGGCGAGGAAAGGCATACACGTGATAATACATCTTGTGAAAGGATTTTCTCATCTCGCGTTCGAGGATAGGGAAATTGGTTAAGAGGGCTACTCTGGTAGAAGTACCGTTGCCACAAGAGCCAGAAAAAATGGTGTCGTGTGTGAGCTGCTAAGTACGTCTGAATGAGCGGAGTACAGAAGAACCAAATGCTCACGGTAAAGCAAGGTGAGCGACGAGATATACAGGTTTGAAATCCAAGATAATCAAACGAAGGCTGAGTAGCGATTAGCGAGGCGTCATTTATGTGCAATGCTCACGTAAGCGACTACCGTCTTTCCGCTTCTCCCAATATGGGATACGCCACGCGTCCGACTTCCATCCGGAATACTAATGGTATTCGAATGCTCAAATGGTTTTTTATAATTTCACACGTTTGGCAGTCAGGCTGGTTTTAATCTGGGAGAAATTTGAGCCGGGATTCCACCAAAGAAGCCGTGGAATCCCAGCTTAAAGAGATCGGCGTCATTTCCCACTCAACACCTCCGCCGGAGGTCTGTCTTTAATCTTCTATTTAGGCAGTTCCACTTCTTCATAGTCAGTCTTTCGTGCCACTGTAACCAAACTAACCTCAACCTCTTCGAATATCCGATATCCTCGAAATCGATAAATATTCACAGCTAGTACAACTACTACAAAAGTAATTATAGACAAGACGATCAGCGATGGTATTACAATTGCCCAGTATTTTGCTGGAACGTACGTTATCCCTGAAACTTTTTGAGTTTTTATTTTCTATCAATTTGGGTTGAGCACTAGAAAAAAATCCAAATTCACCTAGACGATTCAAAATCGGGGTAGGAACGATAGCCCACAGTAAATATAAAATCAACAAACAACAAGACGATATGTATAGCGCAAAACCATATATTCCTGAAGCGGATCAAATTCAGGTATGTATGAGAGACTGATGTTTTCTATAGAACTCGTCGATATCACATATACGCTGCACTACGAATCCAATATGGGAAGCCACAACAAAACTGTGCCACAAGAACTGAACATTTGTAGCAGGTGTTATGCCTACGATCTGTTTTGGAACTTCTTGACACCCCAAGAAAGAAAACTATTGAAAAGAATCTTGAAACAGAGGTGAAAGCTTAGTGAACGATAAATCACGACGAAACACCACTGTGAAAACATACTCTCAACAACATGCTCGTCGAACAGAAATACTAAAAAAAGCAGAAAGGTGCTGTGATATGTAATAAAGATTGGTCGCAAAATGTCACGAATAAAAATAGTTGGAGGCTGAAAGGAAGAATGAACTCCATAAAACTGGTGGCTGTGGTATTGCGGAACTGGAAAACGGAAGGTGCAACATGATCAAATGGTGCAGAAATCTCAATAAGGAACTGTATATAACACATTCGCCCATCCCTGCTACTGAGGTACCAGAGAAAAAAACTCATACCGAACGGAGGTTTCAAGTGAGTGAAATAATTTGGGAACTTCTCATCCCAACGAACGGAATCAATGGGAAGCAATGAATAGAAGAGCAATGGCCACATCACAAAGTAACTTTTGAAAAAAAGATAGATAAATAGGAAGACGAGTTATTATCAGAAAGCATTTAACACATTCCAGCGCCTTCATTTTATGGAATGAGAATTTCGGATTTTGACCCATTCGCCGGCCCTGCTTACCGCAAATTAGGAGAGAATTTGGAGAAACGAAAAAAGAAATGATGAGAGAGAACGTAGGATAAAACCTTTTTAAGGAAGAAAAATTTAAACAAAAAAATCCAATCCTGGATTCTGGAAATGATTCAAAAGCAGATCAGATATCGAAGAGAAAAAGAATATTAAACTGAACGAACCACGCGCCGGGAGCGGATTTGGTGTATGGATGTCTTCAACACTGTCACGAGTTGGCATTAGCCAACTGTGTTACTTGACTTTATGATTTTCTATAGCCTATAATCCTCGTGTTGAAAGCTAGCAACGCATTATTTCAACTAAGTTGACATGTTCAAAAGAAAGAATATATTGAACATGGAGTGAACCACCAGGAAAACACGAACTACCATGAAATGAAATTTATTCAAAATAGAATATATCACGAATATAACACCTGTATTTCCTTACATCTCTATAATTTTTAAGCGATGTCGCCAAACCCCTTATTGATAAGACACTTGTCCTCGAAGGATTCACTTCCATTCCTCATCTCCGCTGTTGTTTCCATCGCCTCGTTGCCCTGGTTCATCTCCTTTCTCCTTTCCACCTTTGTTATAATCACGAGGATTACTCATTCCAGCTATGGCTAAACAAATCACTCGTTAAATCGGACAAAAATAAGAAAATCCGCTAGCTTTCGAACGGTTGGAATGAAAGCACCTTTTCTTCTGGCCTCCAGAGCCTTTGCTAACGAGGCCATCAGATCATTTCCACCACTGGACGACTTGTTCTCCGCCAAAGCAGATGAGCTGAGTGACTCGCTCTCTTTGACGGCACGTCGTGATGAACTCACTTTCTTGAGTCTTGCTTTTCCCGCACCTCCGGCAGCACGGATAGCTGCCATCAGATCCGACCTAGAAAAAAAGATGTTCGAGTGTCCTTTGGTAGTCGCCTTTAAGTGTGGTGTTGTTCGCAAATTCTAATGTCTCGCATCCAGATGGTGCCCAACTGCAAACGAAAATTACAGCCGAGGAGACCGGCGCCGCAGTTGGACAGGTAAAACCTAGTGTGGCTATTCTGGCTCCTCCAGCGCCACCTCCCCCAGCGCCACCCCCACCACCGCCTAATTTCATGCTGAACCCGAGTTCACCTCCACCACCTCCTCCTCCACCGCCTTTCGAGATTTCGAGTACAACTACACCTCTGCCACCGAGCTCTTCAGCTGCATCGCTCGATAATGATAGGTGAGGGAAAAGATTGTTCATTCAGCCTTGAGGTTGATTTTTATAATGATTTTCTATTCTGGTGAAATTTTTTTTATTCTAGGTCGGATCTGATGGCAGCTATCCGTGCTGCCGGAGGTGCGGGAAAAGCAAGACTCAAGAAAGTGAGTTCATCACGACGTGCCGTCAAAGAGAGCGAGTCACTCAGCTCATCTGCTTTGGCGGAGAACAAGTCGTCCAGTGGTGGAAATGATCTGATGGCCTCGTTAGCAAAGGCTCTAGAGGCCAGAAGAAAAGGTGCTTTCATTCAAACCGTTCGAGTAAAGCTAGCGGATTTTCCTTATTTTTGTCCGATTTAATGAGTGGATTTCTTCAGCCATAGCTGGAATGAGTAATCCGCGTGATTATAACAAAGGTGGAAAGGAGAAAGAGATGATCCAGGGCAACGAGGCGATGGAAACAACAGCGGAGATGAGGAATGGAAGTGAATCCTTCGAGGACAAGTGTCTTTATAAGGGTTTGGCGACATCGCTTAAAAAATTATAGAACCACAGGTGTATAATTCATGATATATTACTATTTGAACTAAATTTTATTTTCTTTTGTAGTACGTGTGTTCTCGATAGCGGTTTCGACTCCATAGTTCAATATATTCTTTCTGATATGCCAACCTATTCGTTGGTTGAAATAATGCGTTGCTAGCTTTTCAACACGAGGATTATAGGCTATAGAAAATCATAAAGTCAAGTAACACAGTTGGCTAATGCCAACTCGTGACAGTGTTGAAGACATCCATACACCAAATCCGCTCCCGGCGCGTGGTTCGTTCAGTTTAATATTCTTTTTCTCTTCGATATCTGATCTGCTTTTGAATCATTTCCAGAATCCAGGATTGGATTTTTTGTTTAAATTTTTCCTTTCCTTAAAAAGGTTTTATCCTACGTTTTCTCTCATCATTTCTTTTTT